GTATAGTGAGGAAGCTGAGCAGTTTGGATTTGGTCACCGTATCTCTTGAGTTGAAGAGGCTTATCCTGACCAGCCTGATTATTTTCACAGATCACAAGAAAGTTTTTTTTCTCTTAGTTCATCTCTGAGCTCCGAGTTGAATTGTACTGACTGAAGAAATGCAAACGTTTAAAAAGTTCTCTTGGTACCTACTGCTATGTTGAGGCTGGATTAGTGCTTCAACAAGTTCTGCTCCAGGTGCTTCTGCTGGTTCAGCCATTAGACCTTCCTTAAAACTTCGGAAGCAAATATATCCTGCTTAATGCCAACTCTCTGCACGCTTTCTGTAACGGTTAAAGTTACTTTTCAGCGCTTAAATCTCTGTCCTGCTGCAACTGGAACTAGATGGATTTGTTGTTGAGTTTACCTCTGCCCAATACTATAGATTGCTCCCTCTCTGGAGCTACATAAAGAGATTCGATGGCTTCCTCCGTTGGAGCTAAAGATGGCCACTAAGGGTAGCAGCTTTATAAAGGATAGCTCTGGCTGCCTTGGGATCCGGATCCATTTTTGGTGATAGCTATTAGCAGCTTTTAGCTAGTGTAGATGTAGAAAAGCATATACATAATGAGGAGAGAGCAAATGTTTGAATAAGCACTCCAGAGAGAGCCGTAGAGATAGGATTGGGGTGGAGCACTGCACCTGTCTAAGGGCGACATCCTTGGAGGGCAGTGACCACAGCAACATTCCCATCTCAGCTGCTTTTTTTGCCCCCCCTTTTTTTTTTTAAAGATTTGCGCTTGAAAAAGATTTAGCTGCCGCTAAAGAGAACTTTTAGTGAGTTATGCTCCTATTTACCAGCAATTTCACCCTTCCCTTCTCTCCCTCGCCCCTTTTTTGAGGGGCGAAACGATTGATTTTTCAGGCAGAGGCAGTGTGAAAGGAGGTGGTCCACAAATGTTACTTTCTCAAGAGCTTCTAACCACTGCTGGCTTTTGTTGCCAAACTTGTACTTCTTACCCCTGCCTATAACGTGCGAAAATTTCAGTGAAAAACCTCTGCTTTTCCACTGTTGTTCCTGATACGTTTTTGGATTAGGAACCCAGCACTGTGCAGAAGACGCAGCAAACCCAGACTGCACTGCAGAAGGGATTACTTCGGGTTACAGGAAGCGGGGGCTAGAAAGACATTGCACACAGAATTGAAACTACCTTACTCCACACACTGGTAATCTTGCTAATTCTAATTTTATCAGAAAGTCTGTCTGACCTGATTCCCGTATCCTGTTTCTCTCTGTTTAGTAAGTGCAGGCGCTTTGGCCAGTTGTGTTTGTTTTGTGTGTTTACTTTCTTAAATTCATGGAAATGAGTGTGATCTTTCTTTATTTGGAGTAATAGAAACAGAGAGAGCTTTTATATCAACATCACCGAAATTGAATTTGTGGAAATATTTTGTCTAGATGAGGTTTTATTTTATTCTTTAATTCATTTCATTTCCTGAATTTAGATTCAATTATGTTCTTCCTTTTAAATGTATTCTGTTGTCCATGCTAGACCAGCTCTTCTTGTGACGGATGCAAATATTAATGAAATCTTGGATCTGGTGTGTAGACATTACTGAACACTTACAACACAACCTGGATTTGTATTTGCTTTCTAGCTCTGGAGAAAACAAATTGTCATCAGTGATGTACCTACGCAGGTGTTTACTTGACTGCTCCGGTGAGAATCTCAGGGGGAAAAAAGGATTAGGATGATGCGAGTTTGAGCTGAGGGAATCATTGCTCCTGTTCTGGATTTGTAGTTGGCCTCTTTTAATATAAGCTTTATTATATAGAGCGTTTTTCTCTGCGAGGTTGAATGTAGGTTTGTATTGAAAGAGGGACTGCTTTTTCCTAGAAAAAGTAAATGACTATATTGAAATAGAATTTAATCTGTTCCTTCTTAGCGCAATAGGATGCTGCTTTCTCCCCTCTGCTCTCTCAAGTCCAGGGCTGGGTAGTACGCAATAAATCCTTGCATCACAGCTACATGGACTGAAATATAGGAAAAAAAAGATCGCATCCTTAAACATGACTTGTGCTGGCGTTCCAGTACAAAGATTCCTAATGTTATTTAGTTAACATTATTTCTAGTTGTATGAGTGACAGGAGAAGGGTCAGCCAAAAAAGAGTAAAAGGCTTAGGCACATTGGTGCTATAGGTACCTGTTACGGTATTACAGTTGAGCCTTTGTAGTGTGGATTAGATTTTGTGCAATTTTTCCGAAATGGGGAAACTCCAGGGGACTCCAGAGCAGTGGATACGAACATGTAGAAGCCCAAGGATGGGGAGTTGGGTATGTTTCTGGTTTTTTTCCTGTTTCACAGCCCATTTTATGTTTACAGTTGTGTTAAACTGCTGGTATTTATCTCAAGGTGCTTTGGCATATGAGAACAGGCAAAACACTTGGGGGGTGGCTGTGTGATGAGAGAGGTACGTTACTGTTTTCTCACTAAGGAACAAAATTTCCTAATAATTTGTCAGGCTTTACCTTTTCAAGCTGAAATTCATTACTACATCAAAATGAATGCCTTGTTGCTAACAGAATAAATGTCTGTATTTAGCATGTAAATGAGAAAAAAATGTATGAATTACAGGACATTTAAAGAATTGTGAGTGGCTGGGTGGATGGAGTTAGTCTTATTTTAAAAATTGACCTTGACATAATTTGATAATAAGTAATAAGCTTAGTTTCGGATTCTCTGATAATTTGAAATGTAGCAAATCGTTATTAGACGTGTGTGCTGCGTTGCACATGAAGCATACCCAGTTAAGGGCTGTGTGTGGCGGGTGGGTGGGTTGGTTGGTTTGCAACCTGTCTACCTGCCTTCGTGCCCTCCCTCTCTGGCAGACCACCGTGAGGGAAGGCTGAAGTCAGCCTTGCTCAGCACTGAATTACGCCAGCGTGAGGATGCTACCCTTTTCCAGAAGAGGGTGGGCGCCCTTCAGGGCTTAGGAGAAGCACGTAACTAGAAGTTATGTACCTCCTGCGTTCCCTCCATCTTCTGCTGCCTGGAGGAGAAATCTGTTGGAAAAACCTGTATTGGGCAATTCTTGGCAACAGACACCTGGATGGAGATGCAGTCTCGTCAAAAGAAAACCCAGGAAACATTTGCACAGATGTGCTTGACACGGGAGGTCATGATCTCATTTCGTATGTCACTGCTTAATCTTAGCTGAGATAATTACATACATATGGCTGTCTAAACATGAAGTCAACAGGAAGGTATCAAGCTACATGTGGTACTACAAGTAAATCAGATTTAACTGCAACAGCCAGCAGCTGAGGATATTAGGTGAGTATCGGATGTTCCCTGACAAAACTTAAAAAAAAAAAAGACAACAAATTTACATTTATTCATTCTTTGTCCGTCTCTATGGGCTGGTACCAATATGGATAAAACTCATATTAGTATCTCATAATGGTCAAGTAATAATCAATGAAGAATTTAGAGTTACTTACTTGCATATGCATTTCAAAACGTGACAGAATGAAAACTCCCTGTCCAGGAAAAGGTGCAACATATTGCCTAAACCATCTGTAGTGCTGGGTTGATGTTGGCGTGTCACGGGTAATACACAGATGATCAGGTGTGGATCGTTTGTTTTACTGGCAAGCAGACTGGTAAGCATTTCACACTAGTTAAGGCTCTGAGCAGCTGCTAGCCCCAGCAGCGCAGTAGCTGTAGGTGCAGTAAAGCCCTAGGACGGAGGCCATTCTGTAGCACTTGGAACCAGTACAAGAATGTCCCTGATGCTTTGCCTTTTTTTGTTGCGTTGGCCCTAAGTAGGTTTTGGGGTTTTTTTTTCAGAAGGCCTCACCTTTTGGCCGCACCGTTACGTGTTTCTGTGTGTGTTTTAATAGTGGCTCATATCCACTGCAGTACAGCTATAGTTTTGGTATTATTGCTGCCGGGGACCTACAGAGTTGCTTGGGAAGCCCGTGGGTATTTTTGCACGACGCTGCCTTTGCAGCATGCGGACAAACCTGTTGGTTTGTTCCAAGCTCAGTGGCAGTCTTCTGTACAGCCATGAACGGACACCACAAACCGTCCTCATCTCCCAACCCTAAAACAAGAGGATCGGCACTTCCCCACTCCCCCGTGCTGTGCTTTTAAACCGTTTGTGAGCAGGGATTGTTTTCCTTCCCGTGTGTAGTAAACTGAACTCCAGAGTGGTGTACAAAATCAGATTTGACGAGGCCCCCAAGATTCATTGCTAGGGCATTTTTTGAACCAGGTCACAAGTAGAGACCTGCACGATGAACTTCTGGAAGGTTTCACGTGCCTGCCGGGCGCGGGCTTGTCTCTGCGCGAGTGCTTATGCCCTCTAGGGCCTGACCCTCCGGTCCACAAGAAGGCCCGTACACCCACACCGAGCCCCCCTGGGCTTCGCGGGACTTTTCGTCCCAGCCAGGCTCGACAGAGGCATGTTTGCAGGATTAGAGTCAGCAACAGCGCAAGCTCTAGGTAAGCGCCCTCCCTCGCGTTCGTACGTGTTCTTGTAAACCGAGATTGCAGACAAGCGAGTGAAGACATACTTCAGTTTTATTGTTGTTTAGGCATGGATAGAAACATTAATTCTTTTGCACTCTTGGTTCTTGAAACGTGCCTACAGTGAACTCGGAGCAGTGAAAAACCCAGCTCCTAGGACTGACGATTTAAAGTGCATAGGAGATCTAGCAGAATCCCGAAAGGCGAGGAGCTGTTTTTATTCCTTTTTTCGTAGCTGTGGAGGCTGAAGGACTTTTTTTCTTCTCCTCTCCTCTCCCCCGTATTACCCAGCCAGTGGTATGAAAATTTTCAGCCCTTCCCTATGCTTTCCCTTATGATCTTTGGAGGTTTCTTCTCTATATTTAAGAACTACTTGTAGTGTTATAAAGACAGACAGGTGATGTTTGCACACTCCGTCACAGGACTCTGTTCCAACTTTTCCTGTTTAGAGTCACACCCACTGTGTGGTTTTTTTTTTTTTTTTTCCTAAAAATGTGTCTCACTTGGCAGTGTTCTCGCACCAAAAGAAAAAGATATATTTGTATATAAAGTAACTTTCTTGTGTGTTCACGTTTTATTTTGGAAAAACAGGTGTTTAAAAATTTTAGAATTTTTTTAACAAAATTCTAAAAAGAAAAAAATCACAATATTTACAGAGATAACAGAATGGCTTAGCCATGCAAAACAAATTACTTTGGTTTTTCCCCCATTTTACTTTGGTTTAAATATGGACCAAGATCATAATTTTTTTTCTTTTTGCCAAATAAAACAGTAACAAATCAAAGTTTAGAGGCATGTAACAGGATTTCCCTCTAATATTTTATACAGCATAGAGTTTATAGGACATCTTATGTATTTAATCCATGCCAATGCACTACAGGAAGCTTTTATTAAGACATCAGTCACTACTGCCCAGACATTTAACATTTTACAAATTTACAAGTAACAGTGTTTTCTTCCCCCTAAATAATGCAAAAGTGGCAAAATACATTTCCTAACGTCCATCTTTTTCTTTTTATATATTTATTTATTTATTTATTTTTGCCTACCAGTCTATAAAAACTTACTTTTTCCCTGGATCTTTGTAAATGGAAACCTGATGTTCTGCTTACTCTACCGTTCCTGTCCATCAAAGCTGCCTGCTACTTTCTTCCAGAAACTAACCTTCCGCCTAAGAGGAAGCTTCTCTCCCGTAAGTACAGCTTTCTATTGGCCATTTACCCTAAAACGTTTTCTCATCAGTACCATTCTAAAAATTCCCTCAAGCATAAAACATGTTTATAAAGTTACAAACTTGAATGTAACTAAAGATACATAGACATTTCATTGTTACAATTATATGTACTGTTTGATAAATTAGGTACCAGTTAAAAACACTAAAATTATCTCAAGGTGCATTCAATATCTGTAGCATAGTTAACAAAAACACACAAAAAATATATATATATATTCTATTTTTGTGGGGAAAAAAAATGCAGCTTTGACATGACCACTTTTTAAAAAAAGTTCCCAATTCTGACTGGTATCTTTTTGAAATGAAGAAAAGTACAGTACTTTAAGGCAGCGGATAACATAAAGGAATCAAAATTAATCCAGAATTCCAGTTCCTTATCCTAATTCTAACATGAAAGACGACTGATAACGTATCAATACAATGTGTGTGTCTTGCTCTCGAAGAAAAGGATTATTAGCCACCGTCTGTACGTAGGCTAGGAATTTTTCATTGTGTTCCTTGCTCAATACCCAGCCTTCTCCGCGGAAACTCTTTATTCCCTTTTCTGGCTGCTTAGCTTTGCATGGTTTTTTAAATGTTCGCTTTTATTAACAATTACTCTTGTCGCAGCTGTCACCCTTCCTTTTTACTGTGATTTCAAAGAATGAAAAAGGAGCTTGACGTTTTCCTTTAAGACAAGCTTACGCTCTAGGTACTTGCTACAAAGCAGAGGCTTCACTGATAACAATCAGAATTAGACATGTACCTGCTCAAAGGGCGTCATAAAAACAACTGAAATAAAACCATTACACTATACATCAGATTAACAGCAACTCCCAGAACAAAGCCTTACAGTGTATAAAAATAGCTACGTAAAAAATTTACATAAAGGCAAACAAAAAGAAATCTTCAGTGCAGACATTTACAAAAAAATATTTCAAACAGAACACAACATGGTGACCTATTACCATGGCTGTTGCCAAAATTAGTTTGTGGTTTTTTCTTTAGCTTGAGATAATTGTGTCTAAAATCCTTTGAAAACTTGGTAGTATGATCTGTTTAATACTTGAACCATGAATAGCTGTCACTTCTTTGTATGTGTTTAAATACAATCCACGTTCATGCTTCAATTGGTCTATATGTATTCTCTGAAAATATGAAAGATAAAGCCGGTTAAACATTTTTAAGTATGTTAACCAAAGTAACTACTCAGTATCTAACCTTCAAGTAAACAGCTACATGAATAGTACTTTCTTCTGCCGTTCAATGATGAGAATGTTTGCTTTCATGATAAGAATAGCTGTTGCGATATTGTTCCCGGTAAATCCAGTAAGTTCATCTGCTAAGTAATGGATTTATGGATAAGCTTTCCTTTATGCACATCTACTGATCTGAAGAAATAAAATAACTGGAGTAAAAGATTGCACTGAAGGCACACAATGTTGTTTGAACTCCTGCGTTCAATAAATACTCTCAGCTAACTTCAGCTCCATCTAACCGCCTCAATATTGCAATGTTGCAGAAGGTACCAGGTCCAGAAAAAAAATACAGACCAAGACCTAACCGAGCAGGACTACAGAATTTTCCCATAGTATTGCAGCAGAAATGCTGGGTATTTACACTGCAACTTTTTCAAGATCCAAATTTATTTTCCACTTTCAAATCGTTCATAGGGCATAATTTTGGTATTCCCAATTCCCTCTTTCAAATTAGTAAAACAGCAATATTGCTAGCGAAGTGCATACAGCAATGCTCCATCTCTTTATATACTATATAATCATTCTACCTAGTGAATTCTGAATATTTAGTGCAAAAATAGCGCCTCATACTTTGAAACTTCAGACAATACCAACATATTGAAATTATTAATAAGGAGAGCTGTCCTTATTTAAATAAGAAACTTGTTTCATCTAAATATGAAATGTGATAATTCCACTCACAACGCACCACCACTGAACACTTACTACTCTCATTTTTAAGAACAGTTGATGACTAACTCAGGAAACGTCAATATGGTTAGCTGGTTTCCACACTGTTGTGCTACCACAGTGTTAATTTAAAATGGCCTCAGCTGGTCAGAAAAATGGTCTAAACCCCTACTTCGGGTACTAAGGGGAGAGATGCAGCAGTGGCAGACGTGTATGCAGCAGTGGTGTATATGTATGTGAACAGCGGGTGGTGCTGTTGGTGCTCTGCAATGCTCCTGTAATTCCTAACAGAACTTCGGCGTCTACCTAATTATTGGTATACAGTTTATTTTCTACAGATGCCAGTTGGGGAAACTCTGGTACCTGTTGCGTTGTTACTAACTTAATATACAGTGTCTCTTTCCAGGATAAAATCGATAATAGTACGAGTATGGGAAATCTTGAGTAAAAGAATTATTTTCTTCTAAGGAAAGTTTCATGCCTCTTGCAGTGATGATGAATAAAGCTGACCAAGGACTTAGAAACTGTTGGTTCCAGGGAGGGAAGAAGGTTCCTGTGAACATTTCAAGTCATAACTCAAAACCTTCTAAACTATACCTAAACATACTCTTCATATACATACACACACACACCCACCCCACCCACAGTGATATATTATACAAATTTGTATTTTCATTTCCCCAAGTATGTGGATTAAAATAAAGCCAAGTACTAAGTTATGTCTAAATGTCAGGCTTCTTTAATATGTGCGTATGCAGGTATGAATTCTTAACCGGCCAGGGACTTGACTCTGTCTGTCCTAATACTACACCACTCAAAATCACTCCACTGCCTAACCTCTGAGTGAGCGACAGACTCCACGCTACCACCGTGACCACTAGACACAGATCACTGGAGAGAAATGGTGGACAAGGAGATGTTAAACGCTGCAATACGAAGCACTTACCTGGAATGATGACTGACATTTTGTCTCTTAAGTTTCAGATTTATGATTGTTTTCTTCTAGTTTTTTGTTTTCTTCTATATTTCCAAGATCTTTGTCTACATGTTTTGACGCCGTCCTATAATGAAAAATTAAGGTCATTTTTACACGTCTACAGCGTTTTGGTCCATCCTCACATTAACGCCACTGCCGCCTCCCCTCTAAGTAATACATGAAATTCCTACAGTTCTGGTCTGAGCAGAGCAATAGGCTTGCATATGTCTGTAAATAGACCAATAGCACCAGGTCCCCCACTGGAGTTCGTACCGCAGGAAGTATTGCAGTAGGGCGGTGTACGTGTGTGTTACTCCTTGAGGGAATCAGAATCATTCTGAGCTAGGAGACATTTAGTAAGGTTAAACCAGTTGTGCGGATCCATGTTTCTTGACAAATTAATTGTGTAGCTTGTTTCAGTAAACAAGAGTTTGCTTTAAGGCATACTAAAACATTACAAGTGTGGCTAAGATGCCTTGATCAACATAGCAATCTTTTGTGTACTTGTAGTAATTGATTTTCAGAGCCCGTGCCAAAACGGAAGCTCTTTAACTGTGAAGAAATTAATGAAAATTCCGACAACACTGAAAAAGCCCGCTCTGGCTTCCAGGTCTGTGCTGGCTATGAGTGACAAGCTTTGGGTAAAGAAGAGATTGTGTAAATGTTTGAGGGGGAAAAAAAAGAGGTATGCCTCATTTAAAATAGCAGGTCTTCCTTACTGCAAGTAGTGGAGATGAATTAATGAGTTAAGTGCTTAGTTTAGCTTAGCACAATAAAACCACTAAGCCATTCATTTAATGTGTGAGAAGCCTCGCTGTCTGCCAAGGTGAAAGATTCCTGCAGTGCTGCGATAACATTTTGAAGGCCGCAATTTTTAAAATGTAAATAGGCAAATACGTTTGAGTGGGACAAAGTAAATCCCTTGTGTCAAAGCAGATTATTGTATACGCATTTTCTCTATGGATAATTGGTTTCCCCTACAGAAAAATAACATCTGTTGTGACAGATTCATGCATATGCTCACCCTTGCTTCAGGGTAAAGACCCATAGTGATACTGACTTGCAAAATACAATGAAGACACAGGTTAGCAAGATAGTGTGACATGTCACGCTGACACCATGCAGGTATGCACCTCCCAAAACCGCCGGTCTGAGTATCTGCTAGTGGAGTGTTTCTGTGCACATCCTCCATCTGAGCAAAGGCCGCTAGCAGTGGCTCGAAACACTGTGTGTGTGCCCTGTGTTGCAGTGGCCTTGAATGGTACTGTTAACAGAAGACAGTTTAGCTCTTGTCTCAGGAGAGCTTCCGACGGCGTGCAAACACACCTAACCCTCAGCGCCTCTGGGAGGGCTGCTGAAATGCTGCTCTCTGGGCTGGGGAGCAGCGTGTGAGCTGGAGTGCCGGGGGCATGGGATCCCACCGATCACACTGAATGTAATCTTTTTGGTTTTAGAGTAGGTTCTTTCCTGAGTGGCTGTAAGTTTTAATGCTTCAGAGCTGCATTTGCCTTTTACTATTGGTTTTAGAGTGCCTCTGTTATGTTTGTGTGGCTGACAGCAAGGTGTCTGTGCTGAAAACCCACTTACTGCAAAGATCCAAACTTCTGCTTATTGCAGGCAAATTTTATTTTTAAAATGCTGAGACTGTATCACAAAAAACTTGTTCTACAGTAGTAACTATTACTACTACACAATTTCTGTTGTGCAGTAACTTTTTACTTTCTTCTGGTATTCAAAACCTGAAACACGTGATGTGCACGGAAGGAGAGGATGTAAGATGCCACGAAGAAGAATATTCAATGCTTTGGTAGAGACTGACATTCTGTGATCTTAATAACAGATCTCTTTAAGCCTAGTAAAAAAGAAACAAACCCTCAAACAAACAAATCCCTTAAAAATTAAAAAAAATGTTTGTTTTAGCTAGAGCACAGGATTTGGCTTGTCATGCGGCTAATGAGTCTTTCCATAACTAAGCCTTACAAAATTGGGAGACAGTAGGGACAGAGATGAAAAGCTGAAAGAATCTGGACTCAGGCAATTACCTGAGCTGAAATGAGCCGGAGGTGAGAAAGTAGTATCATGCACATCTGCCCTCGTGTAACCGCTTATGTCTGCTCTTGGCGACAAGAGAGTGGACTGGATAGACTATTGGCATGGCTCAGTGTGATTCTTTTGGTTTTGGCCTCTTACCAAGAGTTTTACAGCGCCCAAAGCAGACTGGATTTCGCATGACCTGACACTTAACAGCGGAGGGAACTCTAACTAGCATTACTGGTCTTTGATTAGGTTAAAATTGTTCCATGACTATTATCTGGGAGGTTCTGCAATGTGATCAGGTTTTGATTTTTAAAGTGTTCTACTCGAGTTCTGCATTCAGTGAAACTGTTCCCCTCAGTAAATGTCACCTCTGTTTTCCTAAAGCCAAAATGGGTGAAAATGGGAGATTTAAAAGGCAGGCAATCCAGAACTCTCTTGGAGGACGGTATATACCACTTGCTTGAAATGAGAGCAGCAGCAGTTTTTCATGTCTGACAATCAATCAGATGGATTTAGATTCTCAGTGCCTGAGACTGAAATACAGCAGTTTAATTCTGGGTTCGGTGATCTTGCTTTTTTTTTTTTTTGTGTTCCCCAAGTACTGGTATCTAGGCAGATTCACCACCTCAGCACAAGCAATGCTGCTGCCTTTTTTAGTGCTATCTAAATAGTGTTATTAAGAGACAGAAGAGTAATTTTGCACTGAGTTGCAGCAGTGTGATCCATTGGCAGAGGAACAGGCAACCCTGGCATGGCACCAATCCTCAGGGCTCGACAGACGTGGCCTGGGTTTGTAACAGAGAAATGGCTCAAAACATGGTTTCCATCGCTTCCTGAGGTGACTTGAGGCACAGGACAAATGGTCCTTTGCCAGCCTAACATTCAACAACAGTTGTTCCCTACTTTTTTTGTGCATTAACTACTCCCAATGTGACGCCCATCTACAAGAAGGGCCGGAAGGAGGATCCAGGGAACTACAGGCCTGTCAGCCTGACCTCGGTGCCGGGGAAGATTATGGACCGGTTCATCTTGAGGGCGCTCACAAGGCATGTGCGGGACAACCAGGGCATCAGGCCCAGCCAGCCCAGGTTCATGAAAGGCAGGTCCTGCTTGACCAACCTGATCTCCTTCTATGACCAGGTGACCCGCCTAGTGGATGAGGGAAAGGCTGTGGATGTGGTCTACCTGGACTTCAGTAAGGCCTTTGACACCGTCTCCCACAGCATTCTCCTAGAGAAGCTGGTGGCTCACGGCTTAGACAGGTGTACTCTGCGCTGGGTCAAAAACTGGCTGGACGGCCGGGCCCAGAGAGTTGTGGTAAATGGAGTTCAATCCAGTTGGCGGCCGGTCACGAGCGGTGTTCCCCAGGGCTCAGTTTTGGGGCCGGTCTTGTTCAATATCTTTATCAATGATCTGGATGAGGGGATCGAGTGCACCCTCAGTAAGTTTGCAGACGACACCAAGTTGGGCGGGAGTGTTGATCTGCTCGAGGGTAGGGAGGGACCTGGACAGGCTGGATCGATGGGCCGAGGCCAACTGTATGAGATTCAACAAGGCCAAGTGCCGGGTCCTGCACTTTGGCCACAACAACCCCATGCAGCGCTACAGGCGTGGGGAAGAGTGGCTGGAAAGCTGCAGGGCAGAAAAGGACCTGGGGGTGTTGGTTGGCAGCCAGCTGAGCATGAGCCAGCAGTGTGCCCAGGCGGCCAAGAAGGCCAATAGTGTCCTGGCTTGTATCAGCAATAGTGTGGCCAGCAGAACTAAGGAAGTGATTGTGCCCCTGTACTCAGCACTGGTGAGGCCGCACCTCCAATACTGTGTTCAGTTTTGGGCCCCTCACTACAAGAAGGATGTTGAGATGT